AAAAAAAAAAAAAAGAAATGCTCCGTGTGGGCAAGACTTACTGCAGACAGACAGAGCACCACACAGCAGGGAGGTGGGAGTTGGGTGGAAGGACAGGGAGCAACTGAAGGCAGGGCTACAGACTGGGGGAAAATGAATGTCCAAATTTCACCACTGACTTTCGCTTGATGGGCAAGCACAGGCTTGCCGCAGAGCCACGTACCTGTGTGAGTGCGGATGTGTGCCAGGAAGGCCATAGAGTTGCTACTTCGGCACATCTTCCCACAATACTTGCAGACATTCCCTTGGTTTTCCTCCCTCTCGCGGTTGATTTGCTCAGTGTCTTCCACTATGTACTTATTCACCTCCCGCAGCAATTCCTCATGCTGCCCTTTAATATGCAGAAATAAATTCTGTTCAGAATCAAAGGGCTCGGTACACTTGACACATTTAAAGGTGGCTCCTCCTTCGGGAAGCTCTTCCACACTGGCCTGTTCATTTCTCATGTGGCCAGCACTGGCCAAATGCTGATGAAGGTTGCTTTCCGTGTAGAATGATTTTCCACAGAGTAAACAATGGAAATGTTTCTCTTTTGTAGGATGCTTCATGGCTATGTGAACGTTCAGGCCACTCAGTCCATCCGCTAAGAAGCCACAATCATCACAACGAATTCGAGTGGACTCACCAAAGGAACTGCCTTCAGGTTTCTTCTTTTTCGCTCCTTGGACACAGTCTTTTAAGGGCAACTCACTAATTCTCACTCCTGTTGCTACCAGACCTTCTTCAGACTGGTCTATCAATTCACCATCATCGGGGTTCTTTATTCTTATTATGGAAGAATCAAACCGGCCAAAACTGTACAGGGCCTGCCCTTTGTCATCAATGCTAATTATAGTCTCATAAACGTCTGTACTTTCAACTGTGCTATCAGAAGCTGGGCCTTCCTCTTCCAAAATAATTTCTGTTTCATGTTGTGAACTCACCAGAATTTCCTTATTCTCCAGAACGGGATCTTCTTGCATGCCTTTCAAATCCTCTGAGCCGGGTGCAGATCCAACGTTGTTTTGACCCTCGCTCTCCAGGTCTACCTGTTCTCTTATTCCCATCACAAGTTGCGTGTGGCTTCCCGCCAAGTGCGCCCCATCAAGTGCTGCAGGACAGAGGTGTTTGTGAGAGGCTTTACCTTCACCATCTCCTGTACTGCCTCCTTCACTCTCCCGATGGATATCTGGACCACCTGCGTCATTCAGCAGCTCATGGTTTGTCTTTGCTGTCTCACAATTCAAAGCTGAGCTTCCTGAATTTTCATTTTGAAATTTGCTTGGGGAGCCATAATTAGAGGAAATACTAAGGGACACCATCTCCTCAGTTTTCATAACTTTGTCCTTGACAAGTGGCGGGTGGAAAGTCTCACAAAAGGAATGGTCTTCACTGAAATTAGACGCTTCTTCAGTTTCAATCTCTACAGAGTCAGGAGCACACAGTACTTTTGACATATCTAAATTAGTATTCTCATCTAAAACAGAGCAATCACCAGTACTTCTAGATTTAAGAGTACCAGGTGGTTGGTCTGAAATTATTTGAAATTCCTCAGGATTTTGCTGATGCTCCTCTTCAGGTAGAATGATGGTTTTGGACATTTCTGCAGAACCTGCTACTACATTAGAAGAGTTGAGATAAGACTGCCTTTTCATTTTGTGTTTCTCTGTTGCTGCATGCCTGGTCATCTCTCGACGAGTCACGGCATAGTAATCACATGCCATGCAGTAAAACTCAAACTCTCTTGTGTGTTTCCGTTTTACATGCAGCTCTAGGGAAGCAGAAGAGTGTGCACTAAACTCACAGTGCACACATTTATTGTCACCTGTTCCTGTAGCATCTCTCTGGGGACACGCATCCTCCTGCTGGAGAAGGTCCTCTGGTTCAACAGACCCTCGTTCCTTTTTATCAATGAGATGACTGTGAGCTTCCCCCTCCATAGAACGAAACATGTGTTCAACCTCAGCTTCAGTTGAATTTCCATGATCTACTACTGGCTTTTCTACAACAGAGGCATCTGCTTCAGCTGGCTTGTTGGCATGCTCATCTGGAATAGTCACTGCTGAACCAGTGTTCTTCTTACTGGCTTCAAGGTTTCCCCCTTCAGGGCAAACAATGATCTCTGAACTTTGTTTTCCATTTGCTTCTATTTCTACCCGTCCTTTATGTTTCTTGGTAGCACAATGACGTTCCATATCTCCCTTAGTTACAGTATAATACTTACACACTTTGCATAGATAACTATATTGATGACTGTGTTTTCGTCTAATGTGAACAGTCAGGTTTGTGATGCTAGAAGCCAAAAGACCACAGTGTGAACATGTCCGTGAGATGTTACCTTTAGGTCTCCCTCTCTTTGGAGTAGTGGTCAAAGCTAGTTCATCATCTTTGGTGCTACCTCTGGACTGCGATAGTTCCTTAGGAGCGAGCATGCTCTTCTCAAGACAGGAATGCTCTTGTAACTGCACACCTACATGGCCTTCGAGCCTTCCATTTCCAGAAATGTTAAACTCTTCTCTTTTATCATTTGCACCTATACATACCCTTTCAATACATTCTTCAAAGCTTAAGCCAATATTATTTTTCTTAGCATTTTCAAGATGCTTGCTTCTTTTAATGTGCTTTTCCATTCCTTCTTTACTCAGTGAATAAAGATTACACGCTTTACAGAGAAAGTGATAATCTTGACCGTGGCGAAGCTTTATGTGTCTTGTGAGGACAGTGGAAGATCTTGTTTTATAAAAACACTTCTTACATTGAAACTGAGGCTTGTTTGCATGCCTTCCTTCATTTCCATGGCTTACCCTGGACTTCACAAGTTCCTCCTGAGCTGCCTTTCCTGATTCATCCATAGGATCTTTTGTGTTTTCCGATTCTAAAGTACTTAAAGGTAAAGTCTGGAAAACCAAATCACTGTTAAATGATTGCAAAGTTTTTGGTTGAACCAATGAACTAATATGCTTCTCGGTTACTTTGTGCTCCTCCAGATCTTTTTCAGACAAGAAGAAGAGATTACAAGGGGTGCAGAGAAAATCCATCCTGTGCTTTTCCTTCATGTGGTCTCTAAGATGTATTTCATTTAAGGAAATAAAAGAACAACACTGACAACTGAGGACAGAAGCAGTTTGCTGATGTTGGTTATTATGCAAATGTTCATCTAAGTCCCCCCTGGACATACTGGAAAAGTCACAACTCTGGCAGTAAAGCTTCATCTCCTGGGCCTGACACCTTTTCATGTGGACTTCCAGATCTGTCCTGTTTGCAGCTGTGTGCCCACAGTCTGTACAAGCACGCAACACCTGAGAGACAGAGGCTGGCTTCACTGGCAGGGAGTCCAGCTGCATGGGGCCCAGGAGACAGGCACCTTCCCTGTCCTGTGTCGGCTCCTGGGCTTCTGAGGTAGTCACACACAGTTGCTGGACACTGCTGCTCATTTCTAAGGGTATAAGCACTGACTCTAAATCATTTGTTTTCAATTGTGATCTAAAGTGTCTCATATACATCCTCTGAGTTTCCTTTGTGCCTCTTTTGCTAATTCCTAAAAGATTAAACCTTTTCTTTACCTGGCCCTTCAGGGAGAAAGTGCTACTTCGTCGATGAAAGCTATTTCCCAACATGAGAACGTTTCGCTCAGGTCTTGGCCTCGAGGTTGTACTGACACTCTGTGGTGTCTGCAGGGCATTTTTGGTGGACTCCAATTTATTCACGAGACCCTCTAAGGTTACCGAGGCTCCTAGATTTTTACTCTGGTTTTCAGGATTTTGAGCTATACCAAGGGAAGTATCATTTTCTTGAACAATCTCTACTTTTTCTGATGACGTATTTCTGGATGACATCATTTCAACAAGAAGCTTGCTGCTACTGCTACTTTGTCTGGAAATGCTTCCTCTGAGATCTTTACCTTTGCATCCAACATTTTGAATTCCTTTCAAATCACTATTCTTCGTTACTAGTTTAGAAGTTCTTGGTTTTGCGTGAACATGTTTTGTTCCCATGGTACATGGTTTTTTAGGAAAAGGTTGTTTTGTCAAGATCTGTACAAACCCTCCACGAGCAGCAAGATTCTGACGACGGAGATGTGTTTTGCCAAGATAATGTGCATTCAGTAGGTTTTCTTCCACACACTGAAAGCCACAAAGGTCACAAGAGAAGACCTTCTGAGGCCCATGCACCTGTCTGACATGCACATGCAGAGCTGAACTGCTCTCTGCTCTATGGCTGCAGTGATAGCAGGTATGGTCCTTAGACTGCTGCATGTGACACTCAGCATGCTTTTCCAAGTCAGAGCAAGAAGAAAACAAATGGCCACATATGCTGCACTTGAGAGCCGCAGTGGCAGTCCGCGTGGCACAACAAACACGAATCTCTTTCAGGGGGGAAGGAGAGTCTCTTTCTGGGTCAGAGGAAACCATTTCCTGAGCAGACTTTGTTTCAGCATCTGTTTTCAAGGAAACAGCATCAACAGTGCTAAAATCTCCAGAAGAGGAGTAGGCATTTGGGAGACATGTGCCCCCATCCGTGCCATCACTCAGGAAGGCCTTCTTCACTGTTCCGTCTAACGGGTTACCCGCTTCTGCAACAGGGCTCTTAGAAGTCTCTGATCCATGAACACCCAGATCTCCAGACTCAAGGGGCTCTGCCTCACCTAACTTCCGTCTTTTGGAAGCATGTTCACTGCTGTCTTCCTCTACAAAGACACTGTCAATGTTTGATGATTCCGAAAAATCTCTTTTGCTTGTGGAATTCTTGGAGGAACTTCTTCTCACATCAGATACAAGCCCATATTCTTCATTATGAGATGAAATATTCCTCAAATCTTGCGCTTCATTGTTTCCATTTTCATCCTCATCATTCTCAGGTTTATTCTCAGTATCCATCACTAATAAAGTGCTAACGATGCTTCTCCTATCTAAGGTGGCTCACTGGCACTCATAACCTGTGAAGTAAATAGACACGAAGTAAATAAACCTTGATCACAAAATCACACGTAGTAGTCTGAAACTGGATGAAAAAATACGATGAAATTAGTCTTAATGAAATGCCCTTTATGCCTACATGAATTTAATCACATGCATATAGGCCTTTACAAAAAGTATGAACTTAGATTTTAGGAACACCACATCACTGTTGACTAGAGAAGCAATACTATTTCTTTGATAAAAAAATAAAATAAAATAAAATAAGTGGTTTCTCAACCAGCCTGCAGAAAAACTCCTGTGTTTCTATTTCGTATACCAATATATTTCAATTTACAACCTTCAAAAAAAGAGAGAGAAGCCCTTCCTTCAAACTAGATTTCAGTGAACTCTTACTCTGTAAAACACATTTTTTAAAAAACGAAGCCAAACGCAGTGGCTGACACCTATAATCCTAGCACTTTGGAAGGCCAAGGCAGGTGGATAGCTTGAGCCCAGGAGACCAGTCTGGGCAACATAGTGAGGTCTTGTCTCTTCAAAAGAAATCAGAAAAAAAGAAATGCTGTGATGGACGTCTAAAAGTTTAGGCCTTCCCCTCCTTAACTTCCCAATAGAAACCCAAGCCCTAGTGTATAAGAAACAATTTTAAAGCACCTGCTTCATCTTTATCCCTTAAAGCAAAGAGCTTTACCATAATATTTCTAAGTATACTCCAATTAACACGTACAACCTCATCACATATTACAAGCTCAAGCTCTTTTGCCAATGAAAAGCCACTCCTATTCCAGTTGTCAATCATTAATTTCCTCATCTAGCAGTCATTTTATACTGTATGAAGGTCAATGGCAAAGAGAAATGTCAGAGGTAGAGTAAAATTAATGGAGTAAATTTTGAGAAAAAAAATTTTATTGAATATAATGCTTTAAAATCAATAATATTGATTTTATTTTTCATTATGCTATTTAATTCAATTAAAACATATCATTTTCCATTTACTTTATACCATAATTGGAATTTGCAGCCAAATGCCATTTGATTTCATGTTAAATAAAAAACTATCGATGTATTATAGTCTCAAGGCTAATGACAAACTATTTTTAAACTATTTTAACTATTTGTTCCATAACACTGACAAATCAAATAAAGCCTGTTGCCTTGACTCTGCTAAAATAAGAGAACACATATAAATATATACATATAATTTATGACACCAAAAGCATGAACAAGAAGAGAAAAAATGGGTACGCTGGACTTCATCAAAATTAAAAACTTCAAAAGATACTACACTTCAAAGAACACTATCAAAAAAGTGAAAAGAGAAGCCAGGTGTGGTGGCTCAAGCCTATAATCTCAGCACTCTGAGAGGTCAAGGGAGGATAGTTTGAGACCAACCTGGACAACACAGCAAGACTTAGTCTCTACAAAAAAAACAAAAATTAGCCAGACATGGTGGCAAGCACCTGTAATCCCAGCTACTTGGAAGGCTGAGGAGGAAGGATCACTTGAGCCCAGGAAGTCAAGGCTGTGGTGAGCCATGATCATGCTGCACTCCAGCCTGGGCGAGAATGAGACCTCAACTCAAAAAAAGGGTAAACATACATAGTTTCATTGCACTGGTAAGATGTTCAAAGGCTGGGCGTAGTAGCTCATGTTTGTAATCCCAGCACTTTGGGAGGCTGTTTGGGAGGACTGCTTGAGCCCAGGAGTTTGAGACCAGCCTAGGCAACACAGTGAAATCTTGTCCCTACAAAAAATCAGAAAATTCACTGGGCATGGTCGCATGCACCTTTAGTCCCAGCTACTCAGGAGGCTGAGGTAGAAGACTCACTCGAGTTCAGGCAGTCGAGGATGCAGTGAGTCATAATCATGCCATTGACTTTAGCCTGGGTAACAGAGACTCTGACTCAAAAAAGAAAAAAGAAAAATTTTCATCATTAGTTCAGATACATTCCTTCGCAGATGTTCCAGAAAATACAAACTATATAAGAAGTTAATAAGTGTTTTTTGGGGAAAATATCCCTTATCAAATAAGTTTTTAAAAACTCTGGACTGAACAAAAGTTTCTTTATCACAGCATTCCTCAGTATGTAAGTGTTTCTCAGCCTTATTTCATTACAGAACCCTATGCTTATAAAGAATCAAGAGACTGATGTTAAAGAACCTTTAGAAAATGCTCTTCTACTCAGACTGTAATCCCAAGCTTTGGGAGGCCAAGGTGAGTGAATTGCCTGAGCCCGCGGGTTCGAGACCCGCCTGGGCAACTTGGCGAGA